GCACTGTTGAGAGCTCATGACTTACAAGATCTATCAAGATCTCACTAGTCCTTTGATATTCTTCATTATCAGATCATGTGCACCTCGACCTGCATTGGTACTTAAACTTTGGCAACAATATTCTTGGAATCTTGGGGTGCAAGTTCCAGAAACGGTCAAACATGTTCCTCGAATCGAGATCTCGGACCCCTGTGATTCCAATCAAGAGTGACTTTTGGTTTTTGTTCTCGTTTGCGGGTTGTTGCGCTAGTGTCGCACTCAAACAAAAATTGGTTTCTTGTGTTCCGTTGTCCGGCCCGCAAATCTCTCAAACATGCATACAAATGTTTGAAATACATTTTCCCGCTTGGATTTGGAGTTTAGGGACCAAGTCAGACCAAATCTAGAAAAAAATATCGAAACAAATGAAACACTGTAATTAAACACCAAGGAGAAGAGTCGTAAATTCGAGCAAGAATCGAAGGCCCAGGCATCTTATTGTATCTTATTGTTGTATAAGTATCATGTTGTATCCGTGCATTCTCAACTAGACATAACTAGACTGCTTGCAAGTGGTCACTTTGGATCACTTGCTGCCAGTGAGGTATGAGAACACCAAGAAGAGTACTGGTACTCAGCTGGGTGTTTTCGGATTTCAGCCCGGGCGTATTTCCAGTTTTCAGGGCTCCATGTTTTTCCATCATGTCATTTCTTCATATTATTTATTCGATATTTGTTGTTCACCTCAGACTCCCAAACAGTATGCTATCATACTCGTATCTCTCGGAGTCTTCCATTCGAGACACACGAAGCCCAAAGATTGCTCTTGCCACCCATCATATGCACTACTAGTAGAGCACAAAGTCGTGTGCCAGACATTCGTTTGCCCTATTGATGGCACTTCACTCTTAATCAATCTTGATGATCTTGATGGCTTGTAGATTTGTAATGTCTCGGAGGTGATAGTCCTGGAGCTTTACCAAGCTTGCATGACATGCTCATTGATATTCGCCGGTTTGTTGTTCGAGCCAATCTGATCTTCCACTCGCTTGCGGAAGGCCTTACGAAGGGTCACCAGTTCGGGAACAGCGTAGTTTCAAGGCCAGATAGCCCAGACTTGCTGTTGTTTGGAACAGAATGGAACAGAGATTGATGATGGTTGATGGTTTTGATTAATGAGTTCCTTTTTTATTTGTATATATCGAACCAGTACAGGGTGATGACAGAAGATGACAGAGGGTTCCGGGGACTGCAGATGAATGGGATTTATAGAAACGACATGGGATAAACTCTTCGTGTTGTCCTCATGAACCTGAACAAGCTCCAGGGCAAACAAGCTATGAGCACAATGCACAACTGTTTTTTTTCCAAAGACATCTCAAGTTAAGTAGGCAGCAAATACTCGGCCTGCTGTGCCGCTGCAACCATCAATGCTCCAGGAACAGCATCGTCGATGCCAGCTCGACAAAACCAGGCCTGGATAGCTCTATTGCCGTAAGTGAGATATATAAACATATAAACATGATAAAGTGTGAGCGCATGATAGTCTATGGATTGTCTATGATACGCGTAGGCGTAGTCTATGATCAAAGGAAGTGCATGATAGTCTATGATACGCGTATATGATCAAATAAGGAAGTTTACTGTTAGAAAATGTTAGAAAACTTCCGAGTTACGGACGATTGTCATGGCCAGCATTCCCACCATCATGGCAACGACATCATCATGTCAACCAACCATCATCAAGTAGTTGGGAAGTGTAACAGTTCAGGAACGTGTGAATTCACGGGTGAAAACACTCTGGGGCGAAAAGCCTTGCGTTTTTTTGGGTAAAGTTGCTTCCATGGTCGCCGAAGGGGGGTCTCTGTTTCCGCGGATGCGGGCATCGATCTGGGAAAATCGTAGACAAAAAGTGCGCAGGACTGTAGCGAGAGCTCATATGCACTTCAAAATTATGTCACAAAAAAATGGCATGCTCGGAGTTCATGCTCGGAGCACTTTTAGGCACTTTTGGAAGATGAGGTCGGCAAAATGTGCACGAGACTGTAGCGAGAGTGCGAGGAAACTCACGTGCACCTCCGTCCTCCTCCCGCCTGAAGCCACATTTGTCGCAGAAGGGGTTTCTGTTTTTTCCGACCTAACCATGTATGTTCGGCGATGCAACAGTCAAGCTTCCGAGTGATGGACTCAATTCAATCAATTCTTCTCTTTGTGTTATGTATTCATTGGTTTCTTCCCTTCCTCATTTCTTTTTCTTCCATTCTTGCATTCTTCCACTGTTTCCTTCATTATTTCATTCTTTCATTCATTCATTCATTCACTCACTCATTCATTCATTCGTTTATGCATGCATGCATTCATTCATGTATGCATGCATTCATCCATTCATTCATTGACTCAGCCATGCATTCATGCATGCATGCATGCATGCATGCATTCATCCATTCATTCATTGACTCAGTCATGCATTCATGCATGCATGCATTCATTCACTCACTCATTCATTGACTCAGTCATGCATTCATCCATTCATTCATTCATCCATCCATCCATTCATTGATTCATTGATTCATTGATTCATTGATTCATTCATTGATTCATTCATTGATTCATTCATTCGTTCATTCATTCATTCATTCATTCAATCAGCATCAATCAGCATCAATCAGCCAGTAAATCTCAGTCAGTCAGTGATTGATTCATTCGTTCCTTCCTTCGTTCATTCATTCAGTCTTTTGTTCAGGATTTCTTTGGCTGAGCGCCTCATTTCAAAATTCTTCCAACGCATCAGAATTTCCAGCAATTTCGTGTAAAAAAATGTTCTTTCCTATGGTAATGTCCTATTTTCGAAATTTCCGCCCCGGCGCGTGCCGGGCACGACTTGGCAGTCTATGTGGTAGTCGATGATATTCTTAAAGTCTTAACATGTCATAATTCCAGTATGACAATTCAATAAACGATGCTGAATGAATGAAGATTCAGAATAGTGCGTGTCACTGAACGTGTTGAGACTAGCCAACGGATGGTGAGTTTGTCAGCGAAGTCATTCCAAGCGTCAAGTGCTTTGTCATGCAAGGTGCGACAACTCCAGGCCCAGCTTACTATGACACAGTTCCTGCAACAAGGAGCACGAAAAAACGTATGCCTGCAGGAGCCTCAGGATTCCTGGATTTTCCATATGGGAGCAGCTTTGGGGGAAACATCATTCCTCCAAAAAAAACTAAATTTCGAGAACTGCCTTCAGAAGTGCTGTTTTCTATTGTTTTCTGGCCGCAGGGCATTGTATATTATAGCCGTCGCCGGTGCCACCTGGCGTTGCCCGGAGAACTACAAGCAAACCATGTAGATTGCAAAATGCATAGCATCATCAGCATCACTAGCCACCAGCCCACTTTGGGCCATCTACGCAACACATTGGTACAGCACATATTTTTATTATGACCTCCCAATGGCAACTTCAACCCTTCCCCAATCCCATCCCAGGGCATCAATGTGTTGGCGGAGCTATAGATGGTACAAAGATCTATACAAAGTACAAAGGTCCTTACTTTCAGCTATTGTATACACGGCACAGGTCAAGAATTCGCGCCATCCGTTTTTGCCCGGAGTACCCTTGCCCGCCCTTGCTTTTGTAGTTTTTGGTAACCATCCTCCTGCCGCCAATCTCAACTCAAGCCAATCAAAGACATTCAAATATCCAAAGGGTGTCAATGGGTTTTGTTTGATAAATCGTGTTCGCCAAGATGCAGAGGCATCAGTACATGCCATTGAGCCTCTCTTGGAGTGGCAAAGCATAAGAAAGCGTTGCTCCTGGCGTTTGATGTGTTTGTCACTTTTTTTGTCATTCTGCCTGTTGCTGTTTGTGCAAAGATGCGTGCTAAGGGCTTCTCCATGCCCGGACGAGGGAAAGAGACCAGAGAGACCTCTCCTGGGCCAGGCTCTCAAGACAAAGACAGGATTATCTACATATATGTACATAGTGTTAACATATGTTAACATGTGTCAACAGTGTTAAGGAAGATGCTCAAAAAGAGCGGGTTAACATGGTTTCTTGGCCAGTGGGCGCAAGTATTTTAGAGTATTGAACAATAGCAGCCAGTTTGACATGGAGTTGAAGCGTGGTTTGGCAAATGCGGACAGCAGTCAAGGTTTTGAAGCATTGAGACAGCTCATAAAATTTACACCAGCACTGTTAAGGCCTGCGGACTACGGCGGCCACTACACCCTGTTTTGTGTCTGCAAATTAAAGTGCATTTTGGCCAGTCCCAGGGCAAGGGATGCGCAGCTTCGTGTCATCCATTTTCATTTGCTGCTTCAAGGTTCACATGAGACCAATGAAGATCACGAAGGCCAAAGGCATCTTGCAGAGATTGTGTGATGAAGATCCACATTCAACGTATGTAGTATGATGACAATGATCAGTAACTCAGCATTTGCCGCTCTGAATTGCGTGCTCTTGCGAAGCATTGAAACTCCACACGCAGCGAGGACTAATTATGTTGTTTAGAGGTCAGGTTTTGCTCAAGAGTTCCACTTTCAAGCATTCCAGTTGATCCTGCAGCTTGATGATTAGTAAACCGTACATGGGAGGTGGGACGTACACCAAATGGATCCAAATGGCAGTTTGCTGTGGGCAGTTTACAATATCTTGATTAGAAAGTTGCATTGCCCAGAGTTGGCGCAAAGATGCTAAACTTTGCTGTAATTTCGCGGTCAGTGTGGATGCTGGACATTCAATGAGAAGATACAGTAGCCCTTTAGTTTATTTGGAAAGCAGCTTTTGGCCACAGCATCATACAATTTCATGCAGCTACTGTAGGAGATGTTGCATTTGTTAAAGCAAGAACAGGCGAGCCAAAGATAGCTGGTTTTTGAATGGTGACAGTTGAAAAAAAAACGAACTCAACCCAAAGAGAGCAAAAGAACATGCTGGGTAGATGTGTGCACAGCCGATTAACATCGATTAACTACATACTTAGCGCATCTTAGTGTCATTTGTTCCAAGATTTGATCTCTTGTGATTCCTTGTGCATATTCTGCTGCCATGGGATCTGCGGTGTCCAGCATTGTACCCTTGGTTGAGCAGAGCACAGTTACAACGTGGGATGGCACTGAGCTTCCAAGCAAGCGCCTGCTTGTCAGCCAGGCGAGTAGTCAGCCAGCCTTACATGTTGCACTCATATTGCAGCCTGGAGCCACTGTAGCCATAATATGCCATAATTGCGTAGCTGCAAAAGACTGTGCACGACCTTGGTTGGCCAATCTCACTTCGATTGGATAATACTTTGGAATCTATTAATGATGTTTGTTGCATACTGTCGTGTTGCAGGCCTATTGCAGGCCTGAGATTGGCCTTACATAATTTGGCTGAACCTTTGGAAGGCTTCGAAGGTTTCCCTCTTGAATTCAAGGTATTTGCAGAGGTGTGACGGTTTTGACGTGTGACGGTTTTGCGAGGAGACTTTCCAGTCAGAATCAGCAAGTCTGCTCGTTTTCTTGCACGGCCTGGGCGAAAGGAGACTGCCATTCCCACATACAGGATATATTATATATACAGGTGTCATCACATCTCATCACATTAGCTGCAGCGAGTCGGTTTCTGTTACTTGAAGTTCAACGGGGTCAGCCAGTGTTGTCCCCCACCTGAGCAGAGAAGAAGTTGATGGGAACCCCTCTCTCGCAGGATGAGCGACTACGATGATACGTCTACCTCGGTGAACTTGCAGAACGCAGCTTGCAAGATAATTGGTACAATTTGGTGATGATTATGATAAAAATATATATTTAAGATTGATATATGTATATAGATATTATGTTTTAAGTCGCGCAAGCACCAGAGTAGCGATTGGTTAACTATGCCGCATTAATATGCGCTTCCTGTTTGTTGCATTCAGGATCGTAAAGGATCTTCAAGGCACAGCTGCATAACTCAATTGACAGTTGCCCCCAGCTCCATATCATTCGCTCGTTCTTACACGAGGCTTACGTCGCTTTGATTCACTGGCTCCATAGGCATGTTCAAGATGATGTTCAAGCAGGAATCAAGCAGGTAGACGTTGACGGAAGAACGATGGAGCGCATGAATTTACGCATAGAAGTCGTGGAGAAAGAGAAGAACAAAGTATACTGAAATTAATATGATTACATATGATTACAAATCCAATGCCGCAAGCGGTTCGACTCTGTGTTCCTGTGTATATTTGATAGGGCCAATGCTTGAGCTCTCTCAACAGATTCGTCTACCAAGCCGGTTCGTGCTTTCACTGTTGTATTGTACCCCACTTTTGAACTGCCAAGTGCACACGAAGATACTGCAACACCTCGAAAAAGGGGGTTATATAATACCGTAGGGATATTCATAGACTCTAAAACTGCAAAAATCTATATCAAATGTTCCAAGAGAATAACGTGTTTCTTTTCGTACTGTCATGACTGTCCTCTAGAGTTCCGAAATCTCCTGTTTCAGATCACGCCAAGGTTCTGGGCAAGGGATCCCTGCCGCCAGCAAATATTCCAAGCATCATCCTCTTTGATGGACGCGGCCATGGAAACAGCTCTGGTTGGGAAGGGAAAGGACCTGAACAATTTCATTGGAAGTACCTGAGCCTTGACATGCTGCAAGTGGCAGCGGCCTACAGGCCATGTCTGTCACAGCCGTTGGAACCAAACTATATCTTCGGTGGTTGCAGCATGGGTGCCGCGGCAGCTGTGCCTAGTCCGTACATCAAGAGGATTCAATATACACCACTGAAAGAAATGGCAAGGTATGAAATCGTATGATTACACACGCACACACACACATATATATAGTATTATATAATTATATATATAATTAGTGGAGATGCAATGATGTTGATATCGTTTATTGGATTTGATTGGTACTCAGTTACTCATGGGTCAGTTAAGAGATATATTTTGGTATGTTTTGGTGCTCTGATTGTTTCTGTTTTTGTTTTTTTAATATATGTTTTTCTTGTTTTCTCTGAGGTTTGGGCTGCTGTGATGTACCCACGCCGCGTGGCTGGCCTTGTGCTTTTCATGGTTCCCACCATGTGGGCAACGCGTCAAGCGCGACGCGGAGCCCTGGAAGCCAAGGCGGACGCCCTCCGTGCGTCGGAACCAAATCGAGCTGAAGTCATGACAGGAGCTGCACGAGCAGATTTCCCGCCCAGGGAAGACCTGGAAAGGTTGGCTGCAACTGGCATCCCAGCTTCCTGACTTACTGAAATACTTTGAAAGTAGTTTCAATATTTTTCAATATTTTGAATCAGATAGTTTTATCATGTGTTATCATGTTTCATCGCGTTCTTCGACTTAGTTTGGGTCTCATCAGGTTTTGTTTGAGCCCAGATATTTTCAGGTTCAGTATCTTCAGGTGTGTTCTAATCCTATGTATTTTTCATTTTCCAGAACAAAGTCAAGTGTATGAACGTCAGGAACAATCATGATCAAATGGTATCAGAGAAGTTAGTGTGCTGTTACTTGTATTGGAATGATCCTTTCTGAGTGTGAATTGCGACTGCATCTAACCTATGGATGGGCTCGGATGGGCTGGTGCAAACATGTGCAAACACATACCCACTAGGTTTGTGGTGGCATTGCTACTGAGTGAGACTGCTGTAAGTTTGCCTATGATTTTTCTGTGCATGGTTATGTATGGTTATGTACTAGTGTATATATATATATAATTATATGCAATTCTATTCAATGTGCATAATAAATATAATAGACACAAAACATATATATATGTGTGTGTGTGCATTTGGTGGCGTATATTTTGCCAGTCATACCTGTTCCGAACAGAGGTTCTTATCGTCACTGCTCGGGATGACCCCATTCACCCCGCGAGTTCTGCGGAAGCACTGGGCCAAATCTTTGGATCCAGCGCACGAGTTGTCACTGACTGCAAGGCCAGATAAGTCATGTGTCAAGATGTGCAGAAGAAATAAATCAGAAGAAAGGATGTCAAGAAACTGACAAGATCCGAAAAGATAACAATTAGAGCTTGATGATTGATGGCCTAAATGTTCCCCATGAATGCTGAAGATATTTGGAGAACTCAGTTTTCGGCTTGGTGACAAACGCGCGCAGGCATCAGAGGTTGGTGCAATATTCAGCACTGAATTGGTGAGTTGGCTTGAGCAATTGCCCCCGGCTTTGGCGTAGATGACATGGTTTTTCGGTGAGCTGCCGCATATTTGCCTCAGCGGAGGAGGAATGATTTCAAAAGCGCAAGCTTGGAGCCGATGCATCATAGTATGATTTCACTCATTTGGAGGGCTCAGATTCTAACCAGTTGTCGGAATGATTGTGATGGTAATGTCCAGGCGGGCCAAAACGAGATATAATCAGACTAGGTTGATCTAGGTTGACTATAGATAAACTTAATTAAACTTATATAGATGTGCAACGTAAAAGTGCTGGAGAGATTCACTGGGCGATGCTGCATCCCCTGCGTTATGCATCGATTACATGCATACCAGCCGACAAATTTCCGTAGCGGTGCCAAGCATTGCTGCCTTTCTTGTAGCTTTTCGTTTGGAAGAAATCTTTATTGCGTATTATTAACATAGTCTGCGTTGTGGCAGTGGGACAAGCTGGCAGAGCTTTCCCCAATGGGATTTTCACTTTTGCGGAACTCCATTGCAAGGAATCTGTGCAATCGCATAATCGCCATGTGGTGCAGCGATCCTGCGCCCTCAAAATATTCGAGATGCTCGTTGGTGCCCACTGGCGCCACTGGCTGGTTCCAAAAAGCTGAAATACTGGAACGGACTGAACGCATCTGAACGCACTGGACGCGCTGGATCGACCAGACCTTTTCCATCCTTTTCCTACGTTGCATTGCTCCAGCTGCAGATGGCTGGAGTAAAACGGTATTGGCGGACTTCACTTGTTCCGGCCACTGCGTGGTGTGCACAGATTCCTTTCGATTCTTTCCGGAGATCTCCACTGGTTCCGAGCATGTTCCACATGACAACTTGTAGTTTGAGTCAGTGATGCTGCACTTTTGAGCACGGAACTGTATGTCTATCATGATGAATTATCATGAATTATCTATAGATACACATGATACACGTTGTTTAATGCGTTTTCCCCCTCCCTGCTGGTCAAAAAGGATGACCTGGTCAATGTCCCTTGCCCCCACACCACACCTTCACGGTTTCTGGAATTGCGTTCTCATGAGCACGGAACCTTCAAGGGGGATTTAGGCAGATATGATGTGACATGCTGTGACTGTGACATGCTGTAGTATGCTGTGACATGCTGTGATACAATCTCATCAGCCGTTGAACTGCCAGATTTTGCCGGAGGTCGCTTTGTACTTGCACACCTGATGCCAGCCCAAGACACTGACACGGTGTCAGTTCCCAACAGGGAAGCCTATGTGGCACACCGTCGCACAGGTCACAGGTAGTGAGTCAGAGAGTCTAAGGGTTCAGGCTCTCAGAAGCAAAGACATATTGACTACTTATTGAGTAACTGAGCCACTCATGGGGTACCACCTTGAAAAATAGTTTGGATGCTGTTTTTTAAAAAGGGTTTAATAAGGCATCTAATTATTTGGAAAACCTTGCATTTTAAAGATTTTACACAAATATGGCTTTCTAAAGTAAATGGACCAGCTTTACTCAAAGAAAGGTGGAGAAGGTTTTTGATTTTTTTTTCAACCCCAAAAGTTGCTTGGCACAATAGAGTACCATCCAAACATTCATATTATTGAGTAACTGAGCCACTCATGAGGTACCCCCTTGAAAAATTGTTTGGATGCTGTTTTTTAATAAGGGTTTAATAAGGCATCTAATTATTTGGAAAACCTTGCATTTGAAAGCTTTAATTTAAAAAAATGAAAAACAGAAAAACATTTTTAAGTAACCAATTTAAAAATAAATTCAAAAAGAATTAATTAATTAGGAACAATTTTTTAAAAAAATATGGAAAAACATTTGCCACAATAGAGGCCCCCCCCCACCAAACAGCAGGTTACTGAATAAGGAGGAAAAAGTTTGCCACAATAGAGTACCATGCTACTAATCAGGTGCCAACATTATAGTGAATCATAAGCCTAATCAACCAGCCTTCCGATAGTTTCTGGGAAACCAAAAGCCATGCCGATTCACGCATTGCCACTATGTAATCATGTGTTCTCCCGCATTGCTGCATTGTGATTCAACAGCTGGTTGCAGTGGCTGCATCACAAATGCTGGTGTCACTTCATGGCACAAGAGAGCCAATTTAGCCATGAACTTGGGCCAACGAGACGAATCTTTAGCTTGCTGTCTTTGGCTTAAGTGTTGTGTCTAATGCTGTTGTTTAGTTTTGCGGTCCCATTACGAAGCATAATGCTGACGTCCATTGACAGAAGCTAAGGATGCAACGCAGCTCACAGCACCAAGACTGTGCAGCGCATAAATTGCCAATGTATATATACAGCGAATCTCCAAGCAAAAAGGTCAGACGTCATTGAAACTCATCCACAAAATCAATCAAAATCAGAGACTTATAACACTTATTCACTCGCAGATGTCCCTAGCTTTGAATGACCAGATAATCTCAGGACTAGGACAGGTTCTGCAAAAAGAGTAGCGCCAAAGTCTTCTGACTCTTGGAATGCAAGCCGTTACAAGCCTATAAACTTGCTCTGTTTTCGCTCAAGCTGCTGGGCATTATTGATTAGCCCTTTTTTACATGTAAGCTGTAAGCATGTTGTATGAAGTGTATGCTTTTTTTCTGGTGAGCATCGCGGTAGCTTGAGGGAAGCAAACTCCGGTAAGCTCAGACCAACACTAGCAGCAAAGTCTGCGGAAAGAATTAGAATAATCACGCATACAACAATGTACCCCTGTCAAAGTTTGCACACCTAGAACTACCTGCATGTTTATCAGCAGTTCGAGGTTTTTTTTCTGCGGTGAGCAGAAGATAGACAGTACATGATTACTACTGGTGGAGAGCATGCGAGGAATTTGCTGAGTGCAGCATGTGAATGGGCGAACCAATCGCTGAGAATGGCAGATGAGGTGCAGAGACCCAGCCCATAATTGCAAAATTGAGAAGAGCACCCTGTGGCACAGAAGTGGGCCTGATTTGCTCAATCTCTCCACTCACACGCTGTCTGTTTCTCTCTCTCTTCCTCCTTATCTCATCTTATCTCCTTCTCTCCTTCCCTCCTTCTCGCTTTCTCTCATTCTCTCATTCTCTCCTTCTCTCCTTTTCTCTCCTTTTCTAATCTTTTCTCATCTTTTCTCTACTTTTCTCCTTCTCTCCTTCTCTCCTTCTCTCTCTCTCTCACTCTCTTATCCGCTCGCGCTGGGTTTGCGAGGTTAAGGAGTTCACAATCTCTCAGCGCCGCGTTCTAGATTCTAAAGCTGTGTGCAGGTGGGTGGTCAGTGACTCTGCCAACTACAGGCTATCGTGAGCTTGGCCGTGTGGTGGGCTCAGGAAAGGGATGCATCATGACACTGCATCATACTGCATCCATCTTCAACGATATTGTATAATTATACATATATATATATATATGATCGAAGGAAGTTTAGAAGTCAAACTTCCGACAATATCGACAGATGAAAAGCAGAGATGGGAAGAGTCAGAGAAGAGAAGAGAAGAAGACAGAAGATCAAAAAGGAGAAAGTCTCAGAAGAGAGAAGATCCAGGTGCGCGAAAAGGTATGACAGTCGCGAAACACTGTGTGTTTCCAATGATTTGTGGCTCCGGAGGGTCGGCTTGCTAAAGCGGCGGGTGCGGAGCCATGTGGTCAGATGAGAGATGAAAAGTTGCACAACGTTGTGGCGCGAAGATGCGCGAAGCACATTTCCAAGTCAAAATGTACACAAAGCACCACATGTTTGCGCCACTTTTGGACGTTGAAGCGTCGTTTTTGTTTTGCGCACCTTGTCAAGGTTGAGCAATTTTGTAGCATTTCGAAAAACGATGGCAGGCGTGGGACATTTGAAGAGGATCTGAAAGATGCATAAAGATGCATTTTCCGTGGCAGGCGCAGTACAAGAGACATTTTCATCAGAGATGTTAGTAGGTGAAGGCGCTGGTTTCCTGAGAAGGGTTGCATTTTGGAGCACTAGATCTTCAGTTTTGGGAAGATGATTTTGCGTGACAGGTGCAGCACTTCGTATACTTTTTCGTGGCAGGCGCAATACTTTAGACAGGCAGAGTGGAAAAATCGCAAAACGCATTGGTACGAGGCCGTCAGCTCTGCACTCAACTTTCCATTTTTGAAGGAAGTCTCGCAGAATTGTTTCATTGTTGATGTTGTCAACTCCGAAACTTTAGGAAGTCTCGCTGACTTGTTTCGTTTTTTGGATGTTGTCAAGTTCAAAAAATTGAGAAAGTCTCGCAGAATACTGTAGCTTCGTTTTTGACGTTGTCAAGCTCAAAAGTTGAGAAGTCTCGCAGAATTTGCTGCGTTTTTGATGTTGTCAAGTTCAAAAATTGAGGATGTCTCGCAGAATAGCTTTGTTTTCAAACTTGCAGATAGATAGATAGATAGATAGACAATGATAGACAATGATAGACAATGATAAACAGAAAGACAGATGAATTATATTGAATTATAATAGAATTTAATAGATAAAAAATGCCCAGATAGACAGATAGATAGACAACTGCATCTGCACTACACCACACTACAACTACAACTTCAACTACATTTCAACGACATGAACTACAGCTACAACCACAACTACAACTTCAACTACAGTTCAACGACAACTACAACCTCAACTACAATTACTACAACTACAAGGACAGTTACAACTACAACTACAACTCCAACTCCTACAACTATTGCAACTACTACAATTAGTACAACTAAGACAATTACAACTTCAACTACACTACGACTACTACTACAACTACAACTACAACAACAGCAACAACAACAACAACAACTACTACTGCTACTACTACTACTGCTACTACTGCTACTACTACTACTACTGCTGCTACTACTACTACTACTACTAATTACTACTACTCCTACTCCTTCTCCTACTACTACTACTACTACTGCTACTACTACTACTACTACATCACAACTTCAACAATATAAACACCACTACAACTACAACTACAACTAGAATTAGAACTTGAACTGCAATTACAACTACAACTACAACTATTGCGCTACACCAGACTACTTCCAGGAGTTGTGGGTGAGGTGACCACTGCAACGATTGCAACCACTCCAAAAAAAAACACATGATTCACAATAACCAACCTCTCCTATAGGTTTCCTATTTCTGAAACTTCCGCCACCGCCTGAAACTTCCGCCACCGCCTTGTGCGGTACTACTGGTAAATATACACCATATACGCACACGCCGTATGTACTGTAAAATGCAGTGACTGGTCACTGGGCTTGACTCTTTGTGTTTCCTGTGGCCGTCCTCAATTGCCGTTCTTTGAAGGTGTTCGGAAGCACTCATGAAGGCGAGGGCTAGCTATGGCTATGACATGGACTAATTTGTCCATTAATTCTGACATTCCATCTTCAAACGCTCATGCGTGCGTTTTGTTTAGTCGCAGTCATTGCTGAGTAGCGTGTACGTCCTCAACTGCGTTCACACCGCTTCCTACTGGATTCACGTTTTGACACTGCCTTGCTATCTTCAGCGGAGAGGTTGTGCCACCACGCTCTAGCTTTTCAGGCAAAGCACTTGAAGCAGCAAAAGCATGGAAAAACATGTGTAATCTAAATGCTGAAATGCATTGATTTAAAGAACCTGCAGCCTGGAAGAGTCGCAGATCATTTTCAAGCAATGCAAATTGGCAATTTTGTGTGCTGCTGCTTTTACCTTCTATGCCCTGCCATGAGTGCTAATTTTAATTCCATTCTGTTGATAGTAACGTACTTAGATCAGGCAAACGACGCCCACGACCAGGAGGCTGGAGTAAGGGATTTGGCCGGGTTTTCGCACTGTTTGCGTTCTGTTTCTCATAGGCTTCGCCAAACTTCTCACTTTTTAGTTGTTGGGTTTTGCTTGGAGACCAGCTTTGTGATACTTCGTGGGTCACGATGTTTGTCAAGATGTCCAAGACCAGTCTTGGTTTCTGATTTGTCACGCAAGTGGCCCAGGAGTGCGCAACTCTGCGAAGACTTCATCATTGCGGACTCCGGATGAGGTAATTTGGGGATGTGCTTTGCGCATGCTGTTGTGCTTGACACGCTCCCTGAACGAAACACATTGTCTGAGACTGAGATCGCGCTTCATAAGCCATTGTGAATCCCTCAGGTGTTTACCGCAGTTTGTCCTTCCAATCGTCAACTCCATCAATGTTGTCAAGCTTCCTGAGTATTTTTGGAATGTTTGGCCTTTTGAGTTTTTTTTAAAGTCCGTTAAAGAACGCCAGCAGCAAAATCCGTTTGTCTATTGTAACTTGTATTTCTCCGGCTGCACATCGCTGCTGTGACAAAGTCCATGCAGCCATTTGGCCCTCAGAACGAATTTGGCATGATCGCATCACATAAAGCCTTGGCACTGAATCATAATATGTGGCATTATGTGGCCCAAGAACGCGAACAGCGTTGGTGTTTACAGAGGGGTCCTGCAATGTATGGAGTAGAATTTGGCGCAAGCCAACTTGCATTCTGATGAGTGGTAGAGACAGTGCAGCACATCGCCGGACCCATGCAAACGAAAAAGGAATACGGGTCATGTCCACCAAATCATTTTCTTGAAGTTTTTTAAAGATGTTGATAGTGAAACCCCAGCTGTGGAGGTATGACTCTGACTATGAATTGAATACTGAGCAATCTATGATACAGCAATGTTTGTGGCCTTGCATTTGGATCACTCACATCTTTGAAAGTTGGCACGCGCCTGCCTGGTAGCCCTCGTACGACGTATGCCTGGCCTCTCAGAAGAGGATATTCTGGGACTGTGGCGCCTACGATCTTTGCCACTCGCCAATGATCAGGGCCGTTTTTTTTTTTACACTTTTTGACTTGTAGGTTTGTTTTTACATGTTTTTAAATTGATTTTCAAATCTCAGCCATTCTGAGCCAATGCGCCCGGTGTTTGATCCACAAGTGCTGCTGTGTAGTGATATGCACTTTTCCGATTGATTCTCCTTCATGCTTTCCGCATTTTGACATCATTTGACATCCAAGGCTTCATGAGCTCAAGAGCAGCCTATTCGAAGCTCTATCACGTGGAGAGAAGTGCGTGCTGAAATTAGTGGTGGGTTCTTCCGAAGTTTCAGCTATTGATGCTGCATGCTCATCGATTGTGCGGGCCTGTCATGAGCACCTGAAGATTTGCAAGCTTGAACGAGATGCCCGGCTTGCATGCTTTAACATGATTTCCCGTTGCAGTTTATCGATGCAGTAGGTGCGACTGCCTGCACATGAGTGTATGCAGTCAAGGTGTTTCTTTGGATTTGTTATTGATGTTGCTTTCGCCGTGGTTATGGTCGGCTTTGTGGTTGTGGTTGTCATTATAGGGGTTGGTTCGTCGTTGTCGTTGTCGTCGCAGTCGTCGTCGTTGTTTCTCTTGTTGCTTGTGTTGCTACGGATGTGCCCGTACGTTGTTGATGTGGATGTACTTTGTTGTGGATGTACTTTGTTGTGGATGTACGTTGTTGTTGTTGCTGTTGGTGTTGTTGTTGTATTGTGGTTGTTGGTTTGTTGGTTTGTTTGTTTGTTTGTTTGTTTGTTGTTTGTTGTTTGTTGTTTGTTGTGTGTTGTTTGTTGTTTGCTGTCTGTTGTTTGTTGTTTGTTGTTTGTTGTTTGTTGGTTGTTGGTTGTTGGTTGTTGTTGTTGTTGTTGTTGGTTGTTGTTGTTGTTGTTGTCGTTGTTGTCGTTGTTGTTGTTGTTGTTGTTGTTGTTGTTGTTGTTGTTGTTGTTTGTTGTTTGTTGTTTGTTGGTTGTTGGTTGTTGGTTGTTGGTTGTTGGTTGTTGTTTGTTGGTTGTTGTTTGTTGTTTGTTGGTTGTTGGTTGTTGTTGGTTGTTGGTTGTTGGTTGTTGGTTGTTGGTTGTTGGTTGTTGGTGTTGTTGTTGTTGTTGGTTGTTGTTGGTTGTTGTTGGTTGTGGTTGTTGTTGTTGTTGTTGTTGTTGTTGTTTTTGTTCGGATTTTCTTCTTTTATTATTATTGTTGTTGTTGTTGTTGCTTTTGCTGTTTCTGTTGCTGCTGCTGCTGCTAATGCTGCTGCCGCTGCCGCTGCCGTTGTTGGTCTTGCTTTTGTCGCTCTTGTTTTCGGGGCGTTGCGATTGCAGTGGCGGTCGTGAAGGCGGTGGCGGCGGATACTTGTGTGGCTATGCACATACCGTCACATACTCTTAAGCGGAGTTTCTGGGTTACGATAAAGTTTACTGAAGTGATACTCTTCGGCATTTTTTGGGGGGAATATTGAGTTGAGACATAGCATACAAAAATACGCTCTCCGACAACAAAGGCCCTCGTCACTCGTCACTTATGCGTTTTAAAAAATGTGTCCACATGCAAACACTCACACATTTAAGTATACTGAAGTCGAATTGTCATTCATCATTATGCTATGACAAGTTGTTTCCAGGTGCATTTGGTCTCGATGAAGCAGCATAAAATTCATTGAATTGCTGACATGATCAACTACATTACAGGACGGCCAATTTCCCTAAAAAGACATTTTATATATATATATATGTGTGTGTGTGTGAAATTACGTCAAATCACAACAGGTGCATTGCAAGTGAACACAATTGGATTCTTCTTGGGATCCCCGTGGAATTAGAGAAAGGTCCTGCAGGCCTGATTTTATGAAGTCCTTGCAGTGCTTCGTTTTGATCTTCCGGCGCACGGCTAAGGAAGGGCTGAAAGATTTGCCGATGCATTTGTCACCAGTCATGCCCATGACGGCTGAACAATTCGATGGATCTGAACTGAAACTGTTCTTGAGCAAGCTTGGCTTAGGCAGGGGGGGCCAGCAGTGTAGCAGGCAGTGATTGAATCCGAAGAGGATAAGACAGTCAGATACAGTCAGTGCCCGTTTGAATCCTATCGCTGTGGGACCCTTTTCGTGGATTTCCGGCGATGTTTGGGTGTGACATAGAATCATAGAACATATGTTGCATATCGTTGCTGTGTGTTTTGCCGAACAACACAATGCCACGTATCAAATATTGAAGGCAGTGGGAAACTGTGTGCATCCTGGTGCCTCATTGTCACAGCTGAGGGTTGATTACAGGGCCATTTCCGCAAGGCTATGATGTACTTCTTTTCTTGGATTCAATCGAGGAGGTGCTATGCTCAGTGCGCACCTGTCCGCTAAAAAATACGAGTCTTAGCACTTCTGCCGTGGTGCGCACAATGGCTTTGAGTTCCATGACATTTCATGATGGCTACTTGTAGCTGGTGAAGCACATTCATTTCCTTGTGCATCTATTTGTTCAAAACTGGTAAACAAAAGAGAAAATCGAAAACGGACTATCTTGAAGAAGGAAACCATGGCCCGCCACCTGCCAGTCACAGTTGGAGCGGTTCGTTAGGGTTGAAAGGTGTTAAACAGGAATAGGGTACAATGAAATGGGAAATACGGAACTCTGTCAAGCAGGTGACCCCATCAGAGGAGGCCGATCAGAAGCAAAATAAAGCGGAAAAATTGTGAGGAATTTTAAGGAGTTTAAGGAATAATTTTAAGGAATTTTAAGGAATTAGAATTAAGGAATTTTGAAGAATTTTACGGAATCTTCAGGAATTTTGCGGAATTTTAAGGAATTCTAAGGAATCTTAAGGAATTCTACGGAATTTCGAAGACTTCTAAGAACTTTTAAAGAATTTTAAGGAATTCCAACAAATTTTGACAAGTTTTAAGGTCTTTAATGACTTTTAAAAACTTTTAAGGATTTTTAGGGAATTTTCAAGATTTTTAGGGAATTTTCAAGAATTGTAAGGAATCTTAACATTTTTTTTAAGAATTTTGAAGACTTTAAGAGATTTTGAAGGAATTTTGAGGAATTTTCAGGACTTTTAAGGACTTTTCATTTGTGAGTGAGAGAGAGAGAGAGAGAGAGAGAGGGGGGGGGGGAGAAAGAAAATCCGGGGATCTCTCCCATGAAGCTGGCATGATGCCAGCCAGTGAGTGAAGATATACTTAGGCATGATCGAGGTTTGTTTTTCAAGCTTGTCTTATCATGGAGCTGTGGGAGATGCTGGGGTTAAACAACATCACATATACTGCAATACCTACAAAGTGTACTAGACTTTTTGCAACGCCCAAAGAGCGTTTTTTTTTAAATGTTTTTTTTACTCTTCGCGGCATCAAAGCCAGCTTGGAATGTTGAAGCACTTTGTGAACATTTTTGGCGGTTGCAGATGATAACTTTGTGGAGTGCAGACGTGCCATGCGCGGTTTCAATCGGAGATGAGTCTCAGGGCCTGTTTTGTCATGTTTCGTGCAAGGTTATGCACCTTTCAGCCGAAAGTCAGATGGACCCAGACTTTGCAGCCCGCATCGACCTCGTTCAGGCCAGGACTGCATGACCATAGTCAAGCAAAGCTTCGGCAAGCGATTATGCAACATCCGCAGGCCATGAAGTTGACCTCATGACATTCTTGATATGCAATCATAAAATCATGAAGGCACAGAATATATTGATCGGTTATGAGTTGTGGCGGGTTATGACCAGTTGATGACCAGTAGTACCGCACAAGGCAGTGGCGGAAGTTTCAAAAATAGGAAACCTACAGGAGAGATTGGCTGTTGTGACTCACGGACAGCAGAGCGAATCCACTGATGGACCGAAAGGTGCTTGAGGTCTCCTCTCTTTCTCTCTTTTTCTCTCTCTTTCTCTCTCTTTCTCTTTCTTTCTCTCTCTTTCTCTCTCTTTCTCTCTCTTTCTCTCTCTTTCTCTCTCTTTCTCTCTCTTTCTCTATCTTTCTCTATCTTTCTCTATCTTTCTCTGACTATCTACCTAGCTCTCTATCTCTCCATATATATATATCTCTCTCTCTATCCCTATTTATCTATCTATCTACCTATCTATCCATCCATCCATCTATCTATCTATCTATCTATCTATCTCTCTATGTATCTATGCATCTATCTATCTATCTATCTATCTATCTATCTATCTATCTATCTATCTATCCATCTATCTATCTATCTATCTATCTCTCTCTCTATCTCTCTATCTCTCTATCTCTCTATCTCTCTATGTATCTATCTATCTATCTATCTATCTATCCATCTATCTATCTATCTATCTATCTCTCTCTCTATCTCTCTATCTCTCTATCTCTCTATGTATCTATCTATCTATCTATTTATCTATCTATCTATCTATCTACCTATCTTATCTTATCTTATCTTATCTTATCTTTCTATCCATCTATCTATCTGTTTGTCTGTCATTATTTCCATCTATCTACCTAGCTATCCATCCATCTATCTATCTTATCTTATCTTATCTTATCTTTCTATCCATCTATCTATCTGTTTGTCTGGCATTCTTTCCACCTATCTATCTAGCTATCCATCCATCTATCTATCTGCCTTTCTAATCCAATCCAATTTCACCTGTTAATCTAATCTATCTACCTAATCTATCTTTCGAATCTATCTGTCTCATCTATCTATCATCTATCTATCTCTATCTATCTATCTATCTATCTATCTATCTATCTATCTATCTATCTATCTATCTATCTATCTATCTATCTATCTATCTCTCTCTCTATCTATCTATCTATCTATCTACCTATCTATCCATCTACCTATCTATCTATCTGTCTGTCTATCTATCTATCTATCTATCCATCGATCTATCCATCTACTATCCAGCTATCCATCTATCCCATCTATCCATCTATCCATCTACCCATGTATCCGTCTATCCATGTATCCATCTATCTATCTATCCGTCCATCTATCTATCTATCCATCCATCTATCTATCTATGTATCTATGTATCCCTCTATCTATCTATCTACCTATCTATCTCTCTCTCTCTCTATCTCTCTCTATCTCTGTATCTCTCTCTCTCTCTCTCTGTCTGTCTGTCTGTCTATCTGTCTGTCTATCTGCAAGCTTGAAAACGAAGCTATTCTGCGAGACTTCCTCAGTTTTTGAACTTGACAGCATCAAAATGCAGCAATACTGTAAGACTTCCTAATTTTTTTTTGCGCTTGACAACGTCAAAAACGAAGCAATTCTGCGAGACTTCCTCATTTTTCCCAAAAGCATCTTCGATGCTTGGGTTCTCGTTTAATTGTTTAACCGCGTGGGGGAGCGACCTGGCTCGAACGGTGGTGTGCGGACAGCGTGGGTGCAAGGGAAAGGAAGGGAAAGGAAAGGAAAGGAAGGGAAAGGAAGGGAAAGGAAGGGAAAGGAAGGGAAAGGAAGGGAAAGGAAGGGAAAGGAAGGGACAGGAAGGGAAAGGAAGGGAAAGGAAGGGAAAGGAAGGGAAAAGGAAGGGAAACGAAGGAAAAAGGAAGGGAAAGGAAGGAAAAAGGAAGGAAAAAGGAAGGGAAAGGAAGGGAAAGGAAGGGAAAGGAAGGGAAAGGAAGGGAAAGGAAGGGAAAGGAAGGGAAAGGAAGGGAAAGGAAGGGAAAGGATGGGAAAGGAAGGGAAAGGAAGGGAAAGGATGGGAAAGGAAGGGAAAGGAAGGGAAAGGAAGGGAAACGAAGGAAAAAGGAAGGGAAAGGAAGGAAAAAGGAAGGGAAAGGAAGGGAAAGGATGGGAAAGGAAGGGAAAGGAAGGGAAAGGATGGGAAAGGAAGGGGCAGGAAGGGAAAGGATGGGAAAGGAAGGGAAAGGAAGGGAAAGGATGGGAAAGGAAGGGAAAGGAAGGGAAAGGAAGGGAAAGAAAGGAAGGGAAAGGAAGGGAAAGGATGGGAAAGGAAGGGAAAGGAAGGGAAAGGATGGGAAAGGAACGGAA